CAAAAGATACATAGAAAATAAGTGAATTTACTGAATTCAATCTTCTAAAGCAGACATACTTTCAAAATTCTGGTGATAGATATGCTAATTAACCTGATTTGACCATGACATAATCTAGACAYAGATCAAAACATTACATTAAACCCCATAAATATGTAGTCATATGTCAATCAATCAAAAAAAAAAAAARRRAARGRARGRRAGRAKAGRAWAGGAAAGGAAAGGAAAAGAAAAAAAAGCATCCCCTAACTTTCTATTCCAGAGAGTAAAGAGGGTTAGATATCATTTCATAGAGTTTTTATTTTTAAACTATCATGGAATAATACCCCATTTTATAGTAGTCTATTAGAGTTATAGTATATTGCTTTAAACTAGTTTTTCCCCCAAATCATTAGTTTCTAGTTCCACCAAGATCTGTTTCTAATTTACCTGATTCCAGATAACTTTCTGGGGTCCTCTAAAGTGTCTTGTCACTTATATGACCTTTAAGTTACTGCATAGTTCCTCCATTCCCCCCCCCCAGGACTGGGGTCTCCTCCCCATCAGATAATTTCTCATGTAGTCATTCACTCCTAGCTGTTATTTTTGGTATTCACCCAGAGGTGTGCATGAATTACTTTGCTGGCCCTGTTTCTGTTGCCAGAGGGGAAGTTCCTGGGTGTAGTTATTGATGTTCTTTTCAGAGTCAATAAATGACAAATAAAGAAATGATGGAAGATGATTTGTGGCAGTTATGCCTGCAGGCAGCTGCAGTCYACAACAAATAGTCCATTTCATTATTTCAAAAGACTGTGGGCTCAGTTTCACCATCATGAAGAGGGGACAGAGACTTCTTTCTTAGTGACAGCTTTGAGCTTAACTGGATCAGTGGTTTCCTGACTTTAGCCTCAACAGAAGTTTTTTGCCATCTCTGAGAGACCAGTCCTCTTGGTCTGGTATTTGATGCTGTCTGTGCTGTGGACCTTCCTTAGGCTTTTTAATCCTGGTCCTATTTTTACTGCCAGATCATCCTGGCTCTGATATTACCATGGCCACTGGGAAATYATGAAGATAACCAGATGGCTTGAGAACTGACCTGAACATGCCTTTCATCCCTAGATGTCGATTCCATGGGGACATACCATGAGAGGGAGAAATGTACACAACAGACAGTTCATTCTAAAGCTCTGCATCTAGTCCACTGGCTCAAGGTCATGGTCCCAGAAGWTATTTGTGTGTTTGCCTGTTTTATTTCTCCAAATTATTTTCAGATGGGCAAATGTCCTATACATTTTCAAATGTACAGAAGCTATGATTTCCTGTTTTAATATTTTTCTTCTGAGACTTTCAATAAATTCTGAGGATAAATGCTAGGTAAGCTCTTCCATAGCACCACCAAATGAAGATTCATACTTACTCTGGATGATCTTGCTGTTGGGCAGGGATGTGCTGAATAACTTCGTAAATTGTACTATGCAAATCTTGCCCTGATACACCATTGGAGGCTGGAATAGACCTACTTGGCATCTAGAAAATATGGCATATAAAAAAATTAGCCAAGACTAGTCAATAGTATTTCTTTCCACTATGCTATAGAGTTGAAAACAACTGACGGTTGTGATGATWAGAKAATTAGAACCTAGGATGTTTGTTTCCTCCTTGTTACAATTTCCAGCACTTACCCTATGGTGGTTTGTGCAGMAACAAAGCTATGAGGTCAGAAAAGGAATATAGCTTGACAAAACTATGACTTTTTTCCCTTCATTGAAGAAGAAGGCTGTCAATACTATACAGGAAACATAATAGGAAGGAAAAATGGCAAAGAGGACAKAACAGAACAGCTTAGAACCAGTGAACATATTATCTCTTATATGACATCTTCTCAGCTAACCTTTGACCCTCTTTGCCAATTCCATGTGAAAAAGTAGCTTAAAAGAATAATATATAGCCAAAATCCCTATTCATGTTGCAAGAGACAATACCAAGAAATATGGAGTACATTAAGGGAGATATTTTGGTTTGGATGTAGTAATGGGCTCTAAAAACTAAAGGCTTGAGTGAATGAGAAAAGAATAGTAGGAATTTAGTAAAAACCATCCTGTATATTAATACTGCTGCTGACTTTTAGTCCTTATTTACATAGCTCCACCTAGAGGACACTGTCCTGGCCAAGTCTGAGGAGTTCCCTACCTCATCCCAACTTGATTTGCTGGGTTATATTAGAACATTTTTGCTTCATGCTTTTCTGGAGACTGCCTGTTTTCCTTTTACTTACTAAAGCTTTATTATATGTGAATTATCCTATCATTTGGGGCTGAGGAGTTTTGACTTATGATTTGTACTTGATAAAGAGTCTTGATTTTCTTTGGCATCRTAATAGGCAGGGGCTAWGATAAAAGTGATGATCAATAACTTAACYGAATATTAAAACTATTGAATACACACATTGGTTCACATCATTCAATTATTTTCTGCCCATCTCCTGAAAGAGATGCTAAGTGGACAGTGAAATGTACAACAGATAGAGAAGTAATTTCATTTGTGCATGCATCACAATAAACCAAGAGATGATTTCTTTAAAACTAAACAAACCCCTAGCAATTCAATTTATTTTCCTTAATTCCTTCAATTTTGCGATCTTAGTTTTGTAGGCCCTTGTTTTGTTGGTAAGGTCATTGCATTGGCTACTAATCTTCCCACATATCTGCCATCCTGGCTACTTCTCCTCAGATCCTCCTCCTCCCATCCTGGTCCCCATTCTCCTCCTATGGTTGTTGGTTTTGATTTCTCACTTCTTCCCCATAGCACTGGAATGACCAACTAAAGAACTTCAGACGTTTCATCAGGAGTTTTCAGCTTTGAAAATGGCCATAGCTCCAAATCAAGTTATTCTGTTTATGACACAAATAAGAGAGCTTCTGAGTTGCATTTAAATTYCTCTGCTTCAAATTCTTGAGGATTGTAGCATTTTGAGTCAATAGAGGGCCTCCCAAYTTGTATCCCAAACTTTTTAGTCCTTCATATTTACAAAGCTCCAATAATTTTTCACAAGCATAAATTTAAGGTGTTTTTTTTTTACACAAATCTCACTCATTTCCAATGAATTCCTAGGAATAAAATTGTGCATTATTTCAAATAAACTTCTAGCCTCAAAGATTCAACTACAAGTCCTCTTGGTTCTTCAGTTTCCTGCTCTACCAATTGAAGGCACACCTTAAAGTGGTGCTGTCCCTGTGAGAAGCTATTTTAAATAACTGATCCATCAAATATTTATTTTTGTCCTTTTGGTTGTGAAAGTGAAGGGCGAGCCAATCCTGCCTGGGATTGAAGGGGACAATGCAAAGCCTTTCCCGGGGAGAGTTCTTTTCATCTTATGACAATGTGGGCACTGGTGTTAATGACTTACCCTKAGGGAGTAAAATGAAATCCAATCAACTCCTCTCCATTACTCTCAGGGCATTTCTGAAATAAAGTCTGTGGCCAGGAAACTGAGTGGATGAACCTTACACATGGACAGAATGCTCTGGACAAGAAAAGTGACCATTTTCTAACAGCAACTCGTTCTTAAAAAACAAATGGAAGTGAGAATTCCCAGAAGCAAGACATCCATTTATGACCCCTTCCATAAATGGACTATCATAGGGGAATAAGGAAGAAGAGGGAAAACTGGTCCTATACCAATCTAGAAAAATGTTCATGTGATTAGTTCAGAGTCACATCTGTCTATTAAACAAAACTGAGTGTTTTAAAAGATCTTTTTTTTTTCAGACTGAAAAAAAAATGGCTTTGACTGTACAAAAACTTCCTGCTCCCTTTATTAATGAATGCATCTTTAGGATAAGAATAAAAATGTATACCTGCACACTCTGGTCTATATTACATGACAACTTTCTTATGAAGAGCATGAGGTACCTTCAAGGATAAGATCAATCAACATTGAAGTGCCCTCAAGTGTTATGAAGAGGAAATGAAGGGAAACTGAGGAACAGAGAGAGTTCAGTGAAGTGATGGGCTGGACTGCAGTCACTGGAGTAATGCTGAAGTACTTAAACCTGGGACTCTGGATCCTCTGTTTATCAGTTCTCTTGTCTTTCAATTTAGTTATTCCTTCTTTGTTAAGCTAACCAGGTAAAGAATACTTATTACTTAGTGTTGCTTCCTTGTTTGTATTAGCTTATAAAAACCGAGAAAAAAAAAACCGCYTTAGCTAACTCCCCAGATCCAGCCACTTCATTCATTACAGAGTAAGTCAACACTGCTTAATGCAGCAGGGGGAAATGCAGCCATTGGACTACACTGCCCAAGTTCTTAAACAAATGCTGCTTACACCTCTGGTGAAGCAGAATTCTACTTCTTGGTTAATCAGGCACTAGGAAAACCAACCCTGGGAACACCAGAGGCATCTGGAAAAGCAACAAATTCATATATTCCAAAGTCATCCAGAGCATCTTCATGGCCTGAAATAGAAAACAATACTACTTACAWATCCAAAGCTTTGACTTGCAATTGTTGTTTTTTAAAACCATAGTAAATCATTATTGTCAAATTAAATGGTATAGGTACAAAACCAATTTAACATTTCCTAATGCCCTGTGGTCATACTGCCTTTGAGCACTGTTGGAAATCAGCCCTTCTGAATTGAAACTGAMCTGGAACTGGAATTATTCTTAAAGCCTGAGGTGGAAACAATGTATTGCATATTCACATACACACATGAGAACAGGCTTGTCCTTCGTAGCCCTCAATATTCAGACTTGTGGACACCAAGGTTTTAGCATTTGATGCACCCATGATAGCTACTGCACCCTGCTCTATCTAACAGAGATCACCATAATGGAAAAGAGTAACTATAGCTTCTCAGATATATAAAATATCRTACAATACAACATGTCACAAATATCATCTGTAAGGTGATGGAATTGGGTGGTAGGAAGAAGCCAAATGATCTCATGGCCCTTTCCTGTTCTGCAGGCAATCATTTGTAAATTGGTAAGGGCTAGCTAAGAGGAATGTTACACATTTATTAAGCATCTGGGTATTAGGTTCTTCACCTACGTAATTTTAATTCTCATAGCAACACTAGGAAGAAGTTTTTATCTCTATTGTATAGATGAGGAAGTTGAGGTCAAGAAAAATGATTTTCCCAAGGGGAATGTGGCATAGAAGGGATTGAACAAGCTCTTGGTGATGCCGAGGCCTGAGCAAAATCTCCATTGTTAACTTGCAACAACTCAGTGCAGAGTCAACAGCGAAGGTAATGAGGGTCAAGTGGGGACAAAGCAGCAGCACTGGCCTTGCCAAACCTCCAGTTCCTCTTCTGTGTGGGATGGAGTGGCTGGCATCCCAGCGTCCCTAGGAATTAACAAATTGAGACAGCCCTTTGGCATTTTCAAAATAATAATGAATAAATGAACAAGGAAGGATTCAGCAGAACTCAGTAACTATGGAAAGTGATTTAATCTCTGATCCTTAGTTTTCTTGCCTGAAAAACAGAGTTGAGAGTGACTTCCAGGCTTCTTTTACACATTTTTGTGRCTTACATAAAATGAATACAGGGACAGAATTTGTAAAGTGAAAGCGCTAGTCAATTATTATTATGAATGTTATATTATTATAGATATCATACTAAYWTCAGCTTATTTTACTTCTATTACATTGATAGTAATATCACTAATTCAAATAAAAACATTAATTAATGTTGATAATACCACTTTTTAGACTCCCCATTACCTGAAAATGTTTGCGCTCTCYTGTATTCTGTCTCTGGCCTGAAAAGACAAATAGATACTTCTATCAGGGATAATAATTGAGGAAAAAACATTCAAAAAKTATTTCCATAGAAACATGCATTACCTGCCTTCTAGCTTCTGTTTTATAGCTAAAACMCAAAGAGAAAAAATATAGTAAGATGTRTATAAAAGTATGTATATAWAACTTAATTTTTTTCTAATCTTTACCTACCTTTGTAGGGTTGATATTTTTTCCATAGGAAGAGAAGACACATGGATATAATCAAAAATAATGATATTCCAGTTATACTTGCTAAAGGKGACAATGATTTGCCTTTTTGTGCAAGTTTCTCTAGTCCTAAATAAAAAATAAATATATTTTAGTAATAAATTACTATGTGATTTTACATGTTGATTATCATTCAATATGTTAAATAAGATGCTATTACAAAACTAGAGAGACACCAAATGAAAGGAGCAAACTTATTTTAGAACACATACACACCCATCCACATARAATTCCCCAGCGATATCTGTGATGGGAAACTTGTGTGGTAAACTGCCTGGGATAATACTGGCATATTGTACATAATGAGCAAATAGCTCATGTCATACTTCTCAATTGTATTTGCCACTGTAACTTAAATCTATGTCAGCTCATTGTCTCTGCATCCCCAGATACTGGATATTCTCACTCTCTCTCCCTCCCTCCCTCCCCACTTCCTTCCATCTCACCTTTTTAAATGTGAATTTTGTAAGGGGATGGTGGTATATAATTAAATGTAGAGAGGTACTGGCCAAAAATTAGTAAAGTGTATTTGAACTAATCAAGAGAGGTCAATCCTAAAACTCAAATGAATATGATTTTCAATAAATCGTTTAAAGTCTCACCTTGTGACTAAAATTCATTTTGTTTTGTAAGTTTATTCCCTTTGTTAATATGACTGTAGTATATAGTGCTAATAGCTAACATCTGCTGAATACTTGCAATATGTCAGGTTGTGTTTTAAGAATGCAGGACACATTAACTCACAGACTCCTCCCAATGATCTTATCAGGGAGGTGTTATTTCATTATCTCCTCTTACAGATGAAGAGGCCAAGGCTTTCCCCAGGTCACTCAGGTTATAAGTGGTAGATGTGACCCCAGGCTCTTAACCCTTGATGCCACCTCTCTCTAATGTTATTTTAACACAATTTATTAACCACAGCTATGTTAATACCAGCTCCAGATTATAATTTGTTTAGTTATATTTAACCTGTATAGTAGGAAATAGTTGTSTCCTCCACAAAAATGTRGAAAACAGATGTCATCCATATTACCACGTGACTTAGATATTGACGTGGAAATGAATCATGGTGGGTGCTTGTATCTGTCCAGATTCAAGTAGAAATGAAAGTCATCTRGTGCCAATTCCATTCTGGGTGTGGTGAAGAACATGTGGCCATTCAGCTCTGCACTAAATATGAGTCTACATGCTGTCATACTGGATTGTAAATCTTTGTTGAAGTCTTTAGCAGCCAAGATCAGCAAGAAGCATTGATCTTCCCTCAGTATGGACCTATCAAGTCATGAAAATCCAGTTATCCCTTCTAACTTCCCCAAGCAACACTGTTCCCATATTTGACTTTCCCCTTGAGTACACAAGAGATAAACAAAATTGTTTTTTATTATCAAAAATCTTCATTTCTAGTGAGAAATTTATAAATTTCTAATATGTATTCAGAAAATTTCACTCTTAAAATGCTCTTCTATAGAATAACAGTTGCATGATATTGCCTTTAAATAGATTTTAAGTTAAATTCTTTTTTTAAAGCTGGATAGCAGAAATACATGTAAAGTGGTTTAAAATGAACTAGAATGGCATTTTATTGGTTCTARACCTAGATTAGACATCATAAAATGTAAGAGAACAATAGTTGATCTCCTCTTTGTTAATAAATTGTACAAGACATAATACTCTCCAACTGTTAGAAAGTTGGCCTTCCAGTTGGAATTATTTTAGCACTTTGGTGATTTCTTTGTGAGGTCTTAGTCTCTGTCTCTGTCTCTGTCTCTCTCTCTCTGTCTCTCTCTCTCTCTCTCTCTCTCTCTCTCAATATTGTATGCCTGCTTCATAGATTTTTCTCTCTAAAGAGCTTAAAGAACTTTGAAATTTTAGGTGAGCCATTTGATTATCAGGGGTTTTGATTTTCACATTGATAAAAGGAAAAGGTGAGAATGATTGCCTTTAAGTTGTCTTCTTGATCTGATACTTTATGATTTGGAATAGCCAGAGAGGYTTACAAGTTTATTATGTAAATAGGACACTTTATCTGGTGACATACTAGTAACTCAGTCTCAAAAAAT